CTTCCTAGCCTAATTTTGTGACTGGCTATGATGACTGAGATGGATTATGTTGATTTATTAATAATATTTTGTTTGGGATGAAAAAAATGAGAGTCCATTTCCCCAAAATGCTCCATCAGCACATAGTTTAGTGTGTGCTATGGACATCTTTTTCATCTTTGTCTGTCAGAAGGGACAAATTGCTTATTATTTTTTGCTTTAAAGTTCTGATGGGCCTTCTAAACTGCAGCACGGTTTATGATGGTATCAAAATCAATACAAGACATAATGATCGCTTGTGTTTCCGTCACCAATCATCAATGACCCAAGCATTTTTCAACTCGGTAGCCATCAGGTTGCCTCGTGTCTGGGACCAGCTCCCTAGATTGTTAAGCGATGCTGCAGTTTTAGAAAGCCCATCCTCTTTTCTTCGTAAGGTTTTTTTGTATTTTGATTCGCTGTAATGTTTGATCTTTTAATGTGTTGCTGAATTTGGGGTTGGGTAAACCGGCTTTGCTACAGTGATTTGGTTCACTCTGGTTGTCCCTGGTCTCCCCAAATTTCAGCTTTTTTGTTGTTGTAAATGATATGAAATTAAAGGAAATGACAGTATGGCTATGGAGTATGGAATTTTCATAACCACACAATCCACAATCAGGTGATTAAGTCGCAAAACTTTAGCTGCATTTGTTGGATTAAGTCGCAAAACTTTAGCTTCGTTTGGTGGCACCATTTACTCTAGGTAGACGGAGACCGGTTTCGTTACCGGTTGGTACATTTCTTACAAACATTCAGCCAAAGGCCAGTGAAAGTTGAGACGGCAGACTGGTTTTTATCGATGTTTGCCATCCTTATGTGTGCCATCGTAAAGTCATGGTTTGCTGGAATTGCGTTTTAATTTAAATCTCCGAACTTCTGAAGCTGAGATATTCTATGAACGTAGGCGGGTGGGACTCATTCAAAAATTCGAGGGGGTTCGCTAGAAAACAGGGGGGTTCGCTAGAAAAGGGGGGTTCGCCCGAACCATAAAAACCCCCCCTGGCTACGGGCCTGGTGTGAGTTAAACGCAGACGCGATGGTGTGCGTCGGGGGAAGTCGCGTAGTAGAATATTAAACGTGTTTAATATTTCTCACGACGGCTTAAGACTGTCCCCGACGATAAATCGGGTCGGACTGCGTCGGCCGACGCTGTCTGAGTTGGCCTTTATGAGAACATGAAAAATGTGAAGAAAGTATCTTAAATATACAGTACGGCATTGTAAAAACGAATGCGTACCGTTAGTGAGTATAGATTAGAATTTAGTATGTATGTTATGGGGCCATTGATTGGATTGTAATTTGAATAAAGGTGTGCCGAAAAGAAAAAAAATGTTATCCTATTAATTGTAAATTTGTTTATCATATTTAAATGTGTTTTTAAAATTTTGTTATATTGATCAATAAATCGAAAAAAAGCGTGTAATTTTTCTGTGAATTTGAATTTAGTAGGCTGCGGCCGATACCACAGTAATCCGAAATGTCAACAGATGTAGAATTAATTTGCTGAAGACGCGTTTCGCGAGATCGGCCACGTTTTCCAAGCCCGTTGAACACCAGTCCCTACTCTTACAATTTTCTGTCGCTTCGGTAGGTTTTCTGATCTAAAATTCGGATTTTTTTGCGATGGGTTGAAGAAAGAAAGCACAACTCAATGTGTTAAGCAAGCAAGGGTGATCATTAATTTGTAACACCAAATAGAGGCGGTTCTAAGAATTTTATAGAGGGGCCTGGGATGGACTTTAAGAGATGAGGGTGACTAGCCTAGACTACCTCAGTCAGCCCCCACCCCCGTGGTTTCCGCTGCATGATAAAAAACATTAATGAATATGGCACGCCTAGATGGCCGTAAATATCACTCTAGAATTGTAATAGGCCTATTTTATTTTTTTCTCTATTCATTAAAAAAAAATAGAGGTGCCCTCTTCACTGCCAAGCTAGAACAAGTCATTCTCCTGCCCACACTTGTGCCGTCAACCTTTTGCTTCCTCGACCATTGTCGTTTTGCCCAAGTTATATTTGTATATATAGGCCTATAAAACATCCTTATTAAACCTCAGGTACACACTCGACATACAATTTTAAATGTGTATCAAAATCATAAATAGGCTAAGCCTACATTAAAACTTTGCCACGCCAAACGACTTTGCGTTTCTACACCAAATATTAATTTCATTTTATTGGTATTACCTGTTCAACTGACATGCCTTTTTCCAATTATTTTATATATATATATATATTTTTTTAAATTTATTTATTTATTTATTTTTTATTTTTTTTGTGGAAGCGGTTTGGCGCAACGGGAAAGGTTTGGTTTCCCAATATCGAGGTTGGGGTTTCAATCCCTCGCTGTGCATTTCGCTTGTGTCCTTGAGCAAGACACTTTATCTGTATTGTTTTACGCAGGAGTATAAATGGGGACCTGGTGGGGTTACCTGCTCCTGCGCTGATTACCAGCAGCAACACTTAGCATGTGGACCCAATGACCAGGGGAAAAGAACTTCAGCACTTCGTAACTGAAAAGAAAGGTGCTATACAAGTAACAAGTAACAAGAACATTTTTATTAAAAATGAAGGAAAGTAAACGGAGACCAGGCAAGATATTCCACATCAAAAACATATTTCCAACAACATATTATACTCAAATTACGCCCCTATAGGGCAATCCCTGCAAGGTTGGATTGCTATAAACTGCTGCTGTAGGCCTCCTTTGCATGTGTGTTTGGATATCCACTCTAAGGCAAAGTGGCACTTTATCTTGCAGTCGCTAAGTAAATGACAAACGGCAGCAAGTAAAGGCCAAGAAAAAAACCCCGGATAAACAATAAAATTGTGCCCCTACAAATACGATCCGGCGAGCCAACAAAGTACAACTGACGATGATGATAAATTACTATTGTGATATTATGAAAGAGTGGGGTATTTTGATATTGTGAATAGATACCGTACTCGCTTGAATAAGCGCCCCCTCATAAGATTTTCTTTTTAGCAAGTCAATAATCCAAACAATCCTGGGACTGCGGTTGTTGGCACGACTTGAGCTGTAGATAGAAACACATTATTCTTTGGTCAATATCAAAATGAGGATATTGACCGGAGAAGAATGTGTTTCCGATCCATGGAGAGACAGTATATTCTTTTTCCGACCTTTAGCGCATTCTCATCTGAGTTTTCAAGAAAAAAAATGCAACTGATCCTGCTAATCAATCGGCCGATGGCCAACAAGCTATAACCACTACCCACCACCATTAATTGCATCTGCTATTTTGCTGTTATAAATATTCACGCGTTTTTGTCATGAGCCATGTTCTCTGGAAGATTATCTTTTCTAACCACCATTCGTAATGTCCTCATATAATATATTTTTCATTCAAAAGGTGCCTCTTGAATTTAATAATTCCCCATAAGAACCCCTCGATTTTTATTTTATTTCCATAAGCGCCCCCTCAATTTCCACTCTGTTTTCATAAGCCACCCGTTTAAATAAGCGCCCCGTTTGAATAATCGCCCCTCAGAAAGTGCAAAAAATATATTTTAAGCGCCCGGGCGCTTATTCGCGCGCGAGTATTAGACCCAATGAATCATTAGCATTTTGTTAGAGAATGGCTTATGAAAGTCAATGAATCATCTAATAAGTATGACCCAACAAATAATACAACAATAACATAATAAGTAGGCCCACACAATACCTGCCTAGAAGTATAATAAAAGGCATTTCATTTCATATTGGGATAACTCCACTTCCTGATTGGCTGCAAACCGGAACTTCGCATTGTTTTGGAATGAGTAACACCAGAAGCCCGCCACCAATCTACATACCGCCAGCTCAGATTTAAGTTCGGCGGCGTAACAACGGAGTCCAGGTGATCGGTAGTAGAAGCACAAGTATTTTCGTCAAGAATTGGATAGAGTACATATATTTTTCTATTTCTGAGTAAGTCTAATTTAAACAAGGTTGTGTTTTTATTTATTACATTTAAAATAATAATTCCACGATTTTTATTAACGTAGGCCTACTTGTATCTCACCTGCCGACGTACGTACCGTCTTCATCCTGACTGAGTACACAAGGCATGGATGTCCCCGCCCTTGTGCTACCACGGTACGATGATATTTAGTCCTATTATTTAAGTTTAAGACCATCATTGAACTACTTAAGTAAGACTATTTTGGTATCTACATGATAGGTTGCGACATTATGTTATTAAGAAGACGTCAATTACCTACGTGTCTTATCGTTTTTTGTTTTTTGTCGAGGGGTTCTTGTGAGTCGGGTGGGCCTACCGTAGGTCTATGACTTGTATGCCCATTGTCGTCGTCGTCGGTAGAATATGGTAGAATCAAGGCGTTCATTCATGCGGGGGTCGTGCCAAGGTAGGCCTACATCATCTCTAATTGATACTGTATACGGGTATACCAGGATGCGCATAAAGAGATAAAATATTATTCACCGTGGATAGGATTAATTCTCTTTTATTCGCTATTTTAATGCACTACGCATGTCGGAAAAATATTCCATTTGTTAAGCTGACTAAAAGCCAATTCTCAATTTATGTCCATGGCCCACATGTATGGAACAATAATATTGATAGTAAAATAAAAACGTCAAATACTCTTATGACTAGACTTAGGAAACTCCTAAAAAAGGAACTTACTTCAAATATAGGTACTTTTACGATCTCTCTTTTGTTTTGTTTGTTTTATATCGTCCTTGTTTTAACTTTTTGAATCCATTTAAATGACAGCTGAGACAAAGCCTAGGCTTCTAAACTGGTCCCTCACCATTATGTTTTTGTTGTCTTTGGTGAATAAATGTCACGTTGATTGATTGATTGATTGATCCTGTTTCCAACTTTTAAGATTAAAAGTGCATTATTCTTTTATAATTAATTCTACTATAGGCCATCTTTCTTTCAATTCAAGATTGCACAAGTCAAAACAATCTGTCCCCCATACAGCATCACTTCCCTACCACAGAAAAGGTGATGATGAGACTGGTGTACTGGAATATGACAAGTTGCACAGAAGCTGTAGTTGCATACTGTATTATTTTAATAAAGACACAGGACCAACAACTACTGTGCCACAGGGGTTAGATGTGTATAAGAGACAGGAGCCATGTTCTCTGGAAGATTATCTTTTCTAACCACCATTCGTAATGTCCTCATATAATATATTTTTCATTCAAAAGGTGCCTCTTGAATTTAATAATTCCCCATAAGAACCCCTCGATTTTTATTTTATTTCCATAAGCGCCCCCTCAATTTCCACTCTGTTTTCATAAGCCACCCGTTTAAATAAGCGCCCCGTTTGAATAATCGCCCCTCAGAAAGTGCAAAAAATATATTTAAGCGCCCGGGCGCTTATTCGCGCGCGAGTATTAGACCCAATGAATCATTAGCATTTTGTTAGAGAATGGCTTATGAAAGTCAATGAATCATCTAATAAGTATGACCCAACAAATAATACAACAATAACATAATAAGTAGGCCCACACGTGTATGCCAGTCTACAACAAGCGTCGCCTAAATGTAATAATTAGCACGCTGAAATAGGCTAGTAAATAAGTTTAACTGGGTTCGTAAATAATATTGTCCTCAAAATATTGTGGCTGAGACATGAGCCGATTAAACGTAGAAATAGGAAACCTAGAAATATAGTAAAAACGCTGAATATAGTACTCCAGCATCGCGACATGCCGACGTTGGTACGAGTAGGTTAGTCTACAAACGTCGCCTAAAGTAATTGATTTTACCCGGCAGAACAAAAGAAGGAAACTCCGCTTTTCAGTTGTCTCAGGCGATTGATTTTTGACAAACAATGACCTTTCAGAGGTCAAATTGCTGTCAAGAATATGAATTGGCTGCTTCGCAGCAATAATATTAATAATTTACATTTATATGGCGTATGTTGCACAGTATGCACTTTACATAAAATTATAAAACAAAAAAACATGTTGACTATAAAATAATAATATTAATAAGGTGTGGTGGCAAAACTGTGCTAGGTATTAAAGGGTCAATCATCTGCCTCTGCGCTGGCGCAATCCCGGTCCCCTACCTAGGTGGCACGAACAAAGGAGCAGGTTTAACATTTGCCCTGCCACAGGCGACCGAGTGCTCAGTCTGTGACCAAGATAGTGGCCCCAAGAGACAAAAGATGACTGGCAAATAGAAGTAACTTGCTGCATATGGTGATGACTTCCATGAGACAATTGATAAGATAGTAAAAACGTGCAGACATAATAAATTTGCGGAAGATAGGTTATTGTTTCTGTGAAATTCTTGTTTGCTTACGGGAGTGCGAGAGGCCACCCCAAATTCTCGGGAGGCTCCCGCGACTTAAAGGAGACTTGGGAAACAATGTGCGAATATCAAATCACTTTCCAATGCTCTGCTAATTGTGTTAATTTTAATTCTCTAAATAATTACTGAATATATTTATTTTTTCAATCTCAATTGTTGAGTCGGCAAATTATCTTTTGGACAATCATCATTGTATGTATTGTACATGTATGCCAAATGAAATACAATAATACTTTTACTGGTAGTACAAATCTGAAATTTTCAAGAAATAAGTAATAAACAAACATTCTTTGATACACACTCATTTAATCAAATGAGCCTTCTTTTCGTGGTTGGTGCTTTGTTTGGGCTGGTGTGCCCTCTTGTAGAAAGCTTACATTAATATCCACATTGTACTGAAATGGTCCCCTAGGACCCCAGGTTGATTTAAGGCATGGAGACATATTTACGTGTGAATAGAAATGATGTATAAAAATAATTGATCCCTAACTAACAACGGGAGCGTCAGGATTTGCCTGACAGGGGGTCCAATGTCCCTGACAGGTGGGGGCCACACTCCCTGATGAGAAGCGTGATCAGATGTTGCGCAAAATCTCTCAGAAGTGATCCCCAAATACTACTACAATTTATGTATTTTAAATGCTTACCTACTGTACACTGTAAATGATTTTAGAGTCTAATAATATGTAGAAATTGTAATATATTTTGTCCTCCCTGACAAAGTATATTTCTTCCCCTCCCCCAATGGCACCACCCCTGCTAATAACTTAATATAGTATTAAATAGTTAGCACCATTTCTCTGCTTCTTTCAGCAAAATTGTTACTTGTACATTATGAATATAATTTATTAATATAATTAAAAGCATAATTAAGTTCTTGTTAATTTTCATTTCAGATATTGCAGTATCACAGTTATTGAATGATGAGTTTAATACTTGATGTATGGTGTGGAGTGTTTCTTATCTTGGTCATTCCTTCAGGTATAAAGTACAATACTTTTTTCAAATTAGAAAACATAGACTGATCCTTGCATAAAGCTCTAGGCCCATGATCATTATCTGACTTTACTGTCATTATTTTAAATTTTTTTCTTGTTATCTTTTTTCTTTCTTTTTTTCCTTTTTTTTATTAAAGCAATTAACCTGTTTAAATATAAGAATGCAGCTTTAAACTATTACAGTATATATTAACTACTACCTTTTTAGAATGCATTAATGACACATAATAACATATTTTAAAAAATCAATACAATTGATACGCTAAATAAAGGAGAAGTCCTAAAAGTAAAAAAAGACATAAAGATGAGTTGAATAATTTTTGTTTAGGTTATATACCACAAACAATTGTTAAAAAAGCTCACTTTTCATTAAATATATCACCTTTTAGGTTAGATTGTGCACCTTGCCATTTATATAGTACTTTATGACCTTGCTCATAATTTAAGTATTTTTTTATGCCATTTACAGAGTGATATTTTACATATAACATAAAAATTGTAGTGCCTCATCATAACTTGTGACATTGGTTGGTGACTACAGACTACGTGGAGATGGTTGAATTAATATAATACAGTATTAAACAATTGAAGTTAATTGTCCAAATCCTTTTTCATATATTTTGATGGTGAGCATTCCCATGACTGCTGAGAAGAAGCTATTTTTATGACCTAGAAAATTCTTGAAAACTGACTTTTTAGGAGTCTGAGAGGGTTGCATGCATTATTTTATAATAACAACTAATTTTGCAGTGGAGAATTTTTTTTCAGGACCTTGAAATGTAGACACTAGAATTGCAAGTATCTTAACCATCAAAACATTCTTCCAGAGCCTTCCTATCTTATTCCCTTTTCCCTTCTTTACTTGCACCTTTCTAAAAAAATGTCAAAATAAAAATTTTTTTTTATCTATTTTTACTTTTTTGATATTTTTATTGTGTCTATAAATTTGGCAACCCACTCGACAGAGATTTGAATCTCTTTGGGAAGCCAGCCTCCTTTTTGTCTGTCTTTTTGGTGTGTTCTTTTTGAAATCTGTTGAGGCAAATAAATGAATTGAATTGAATTGAAAATGTGATGAATATACATCCTGATATGTTTCAGATTTTTCAATGGGTGAAGAAGTGGTCGTGACACCATCATATTCCAAAGAGGGTAACACTGCAATAATTGAATGCAAGTATTCAAATATTCAGTTAACTGTTCTGAGTTGGTACCGAGCTAATGAAGATGAACAACAGGTTGGAGATCTACTTGTCAGTAACAAGATCACCTCAAATGGCCGATATTCTTTAAACACTACCAGTGACAATAGTGGTGATTTATACATCACCAGTACTACAAGGGATGACACAGGAAATTACTTATGTACTGTTGTTTCTTCTACTGGCACTCTTCCTTCTGATGTTGCCAGCCTTACAGTGCAGTGTAAGTTTGTACAGTATTACAAATTTGGTTGTGTGTGTGTGTGTTTTTTTGTTTTTTAAGTGGTAATCAGCAGTATACTTATACTGTATATGAAATTGTGATGAATAATTGTGAAAATAGCTAACCTACGAAGCGGTTGGCTGAGAGAGGTAATGTCCCTGCCTCATGTGTTGTCCCAGTTCAAACCTGGTCAGCGTTGGGTTTAATTGGAATGTGATAACTTGGCCTCTTGAATAACCCTGACATGGCGAGTTGAGTGGAGTTGAATAGCTTGGTGGTTAAGATGCTTGCCTTCCAATTCTAGGGTCATGGGTTCAATTCCTGTCAGTTGCAGGACTTTTTCTCATGACCAAAACAACTCCACTCCCTAAACCTCATATTGATATTTTGTTAGTGTAAAGCATCATGTTTGTATGTTTGTCTTGTGTGTCGTGGACTGTTTTGTGTGTACTGGGCCCTCTGGGAGAAAAGTAATTTGTTACTGAAGAGGAAACCCAGTATAAATAACAAAATAAATTTTAAAAATTAAATAAAAAGCCTGATAAGGAAGATGTTTGTATTGATGTATCTCACATCATGTATTTGTGTGCTGCTGGAATACTGTGGATCCCCAGGGTCCCAGCCCAACTACAAACAAAATGAAAGAATTATTATTATTACCTGTATTATTAGTGTTATTATATTATTATTACTATTATTTTTATTATTATTATTATTACTTTTATTATGATTAATGAAATACATCCATCATGTTTGAATTTCAAAATATATCAGATGCAGTGATAATTTTATATGGATTTTTTAATTAATTAATTTATCAAAGATATGTGCTTTCTATCTTAATTTATTTCTCCTGATGAATGGATCCATCAATTGATGAACCGGCACAATACGCCAAAAATACAGGCGTCTCTGCTGCCTACAGTAGGTAATAAGTTTGTGGGTAATATTTGTCGGCCTACAGTAAGTCCTGCTTCAATTCTCACAGACTACATTCAATGCAAAAGCATCCTACCAGGTAGCATTACTTCTGGGTCAAGAGACACAAACATTGCTAAAGTACCTTGACAAGGGACCCAAACGAGTGGTTCAAACCCCTGACCCTATAGAAACCTATAGACTGACAGCCCAAACTGCAATCACTGTTAACCACTCCAAAGGTCAATTTTTTCTTTTATATTGCAACATAGAATAATCACAGGTAAACAAAGTCAAGTAGACTGTATGTAAATGCTAAGTCAAAGTGAATGAGTGGCAATTTGTATTCTTCCCCAATATGGGTGCCTACAGTAACCCGTACCAGCGATAATAATAGAAGTTTTGTGCAGCTTATTCAAGACCAGTGCTCATCACACTGCTTGTGTCCTTGGGCAAGACATGCATCTCTTCACCCAGGAGTATAAATGGGTACCTGGTACAGTAGGAGGTGAATGATTCGGTATGATATTCTAAAGGCCAACTCAAATAGCGTCGTATGACGCAGTTCGATGGAATTGTTGACGCAGTTCGATGCGATTTGTTGTCGCGTCGGGTCTGTGTGAGTTAAACACAGACGCGATGGTTTGCGTCGGGGGCAGTCGCGTTGTAGGATATTAAACATGTTAATATTTCTCACGACGGCTTAAGACTGTCCCCGACGATAAATCGAGTCGGGCTGCGTTGGCCGACGCTGTCTGAGTTGGCCTTAAGTAGTGCTGATTATAGGCATACTTTTTGGGAATTCTCCTCAGAGAGCAGAGGAGAATGCATTTTTTATATCATTGATTTTGTAACTAATTAGCAGGGGAAAAGCATGTGTGCTATAATAATAATAATAACAACAACAACAAATATAATATGACGTACGGGTGTTTGATTATGTAAGGCTTTCATATTATTGTTTTTTTTTTCCCTGTTTCTTATCAGACCTTGATGTACCAAGTCTTACAGTGCCCTCATCTCCTGTCCCAGAGGGCAGCACAACAACACTATACTGCAGCTTGCCAGATGGGGTCCCAACTCCAATTGAATTTTTTTGGATGAAGGACAATGTGTTGCTTGATCTTACAAACAATGCCAGATTAAGGGGTTCCCTCAACAACCAGAACCTGACAATTGAAATGGTAGATGTCAACGATGCTGGAGACTACAGTTGTCGAGCAGAAAATAGTGTATATTCTGGTACTGATGGAAGAACTAGTAATATTATTAAATTGGAAATCTATTGTAAGTAACCACTTAGCATTTCATTGTATTCAGTGAAAGACTTAATTTAAAACATAACAATACACTTGATATTTAATTAAAATTTAAAAATTTAATTGAATTAAATGAGATTTTTTTTTTTAAAGAATAAAGCTTAATTTTTTTGTACCATTTGTAAAATGTCTATACATGTACAGTATTTTCAAAAGTTTTTTTATCAGGACCTGTATTTATGTGTCTTCTGAATTTTGAATATGTTTTATGACTCATTATCAATTGTCTGTTTTCATATACTGTAAATCTAAATGTTCATTTTTTGTACTTATTATTTGCATGTCTTATAATTACTGTAAGTATTTTAATCATAATATATGTATTTTATATTGCATTGTTTTTGTGGACTAACTAGCTTACCATCTGGGATTGATGGGAGATTTATTTTACCAAATAAATAGAAATAAATAAATAAATATGCTTTAAACAAATCTGACAGGGATTTTTTTTGCTGTATATTCAACAGAAATATTTTTGGCTTTATCCATTACAGATACAAGAATAACCTCATTGAGTTGGGTAGGTGGTGTGGTAACGTGTATGGCAGAGGGCAACCCCACACCTGCTGTCATGATTGAAGTTGACTCGTCAGTTGTTGACTCTGGAAGTTTAACTGCATCAGCAAGTGTTCCATGTGATACTACATCAATTGTCAAATGTTCTTCAGACAATGGAGAAAATCAAGTTATTTCACAAGATATCGCAGCATGTAGTGGTAAGTGTAGCTCATTAAATATAAACTGTCTGTTTGATGTGAGTGGATCGGTTAAAATATTTCAACTTGATTTTGTTAATCCAAGGCAATTTAACAAAAGGATGCACATCTTGGGAGTACAAAGGATATAACTCTTCCATCAACATTCAATTCAATTTAATTTCGATTTATTGGTCAAACACGCAGATAAAAACATGTTGGAAACTTTGGCTGAGTGTACATTCTGAACATTGTCTACAACCGAACCATAATTAATTATCAGGGTATTACAAATTACTCATGTGCATGTCAGTTTCAATAATAATCGCACATAGTGACTGAAATTATATTTGTTATTCCAACATTAATTTTACCAATGAGTCGTTGTTCCGGTGGTTCGTGAGACGCTTCGCAGAAAAAATAAATTTTTTGTATCTACTCAAATGTTTGTTTTGTGCACCTTAGTCCAAAATTGTCAAAATGACAGTTTAATGTTATATAAGAATATGGATTTTTCATAAAAATTGTAATTTTTCATTTGTTATAACATTTCATTTTGTTGGTCAATTTTCACGAATCAAATTGTATTTTATAGAAGCACTGACATGCTTGTGGTCAAAAGAAATCACCATAACACCATAAAATGTATGACATGCATAGACTAAAGATCAAAGACTGTATGCATGCGCTGTATGCATGTGAGCGGAGATAAGCGTCCTGTTGTTGAATTGCCTTGGTTAATCTAACACCTGATTCATAGTGAGAAATGAGATATTCCACTGTAGCAGGAATATCAAATCTCTCACAGGCACAATTGTCTCTCAGAAATGTCATGTAATTCTATGAATAAGCATAATTCCCTCGCAAACTACAGTAACTCTAAATTAAGGTTGCATACAATAAAGAATATCGTATCATATCGTATCGTATCGTAAATGCCTTCCCTAAAGTCAACTGGTTATGGCCATGGTGCTGTGCAGCTGCTGGGGCCCTTAGATTTACTGTATATAGGTGCTGAGTATTGAGACCTGCAGGTCCAGCTACTCATTCTTTTAGGTATTAAGGTCTATTAAATACAGTAGTAAATAATAGAGTAGTCTTTCCAAAATAGATGAAATTTATTTTTATTGTGCTTTAATTGGTTTTTAAGTTTCAGTTATTTTCATTGGCTTTAACAGTATGGTGATTTTTGGGTCGCACAGGTGGAGGCACCGTGTAGTTGAATAATAGGGCGTTTGTGTATAAATAGACTTTCTTACAATTGTTGCACAATGATATTGATATCAATATACTGTAACTTTGTGAATTATACAATAAGATTGCATGTGTTTAGGATTAAGTGCCACAAAACAGGCATGCTAAGATTACATATTAAATTTAAATCTATACCTTAAAGCAAAATTTTGTTTGTCATATTAATATCAAATGTCATTATTTATTAGAGTAGTCAAATCTTGTGGAATGAGACATGTCATTAATAAAATGTTGTGCTATATTGCTAATAATGTTATTTTATTTATTTATTACATATCTTGCACAACAATTACAAATCAGGAAATTGCCAGAGGGGTGCCAAGAGGACACCATGGGCTGAGAGCCCAACACAAGTGTGGGTATCATCTAAACCTCTGGACAAACAAACAAACAATAAATAACAAAACAGCATGAAGGCAAAGATGACACATCAGTTTGAAATAGCCAATAAAAAGATAGATAAAATAGAAATACTATTTATTTTTTAAAATTTATTGTGGAAATTAAATATATAAAAAACTGTGTGCTGTGCAAAAGCATGTTAGTGCATGACAGCTCACTTGCATGTATGCCTTTACCCATGATGCCTAGCATTAGTTATTTCTTTGTTTCTTAAGATGGTTGCCAGCCAAATCCTTGTCGAAATGGTGGAGTTTGCATGTCATCCAACACTAAGGCTTTTCAGTGTAAATGTACATCAGGATTTCAAGGTGTTACTTGTCAAAATGGTATGTTACCTTTTCTCCTTTCCCGCACTCACTTTTTTTGTTTACAGATACTATTAGCTTGAATTTCACATGAATTTATATAAAAGTTTATTTTATGTTTCTCTTGAGATTTTTTTTCTTTTCTTACAAATGCCATCAATGGCCATGATATGCTTTCTTGAGGTGTATCTGTATTTTATGATAAAATTTTAGCATTTCATTTTTATATTGCACCTTGAGATAGTTTTATTGTTTATTAAGGATGCTTGCACTCATGGTAATCCTCAGGGTATTGTATTCTCATTTTAACGTTTAGTTGTATTGTAGGGGTTTAGCCAGAAAAACAAAATAGGCCATCCAAAATGGAAGCCAGTGGGCGTGGCACTGAGTCGATGGGCAGGCCACGTCCATCTTTAGGAATCCACACTGAATATTGGTATGAAAACAACGTACATTCAATCAATAAATTTTGTTTTTATGTAACATTCAATGGATTTGAAGAATATAAAGAATTTGCTAAAGGTAGACCAGGCTCAATTAGGCTGAGTTCATTAGGCCAAGCCGTCACGGTAAAAGTGGCCATCCTAAATAATTGGAGGCCGTCCAAAAGACGGCTGGACAGCTCGCTGGCTAAGCCTATGCCTGGTAGTTGAATAAGATAAAGAATAAAATTAAACATCACAAGGGGTTTGAGACAGGTAGTGGGAATGTGGGGCAACAGTATGGAGTTGAGAAAGAGAGAAATTAATTAAGGCTATGTTTAGCTGGATGCATTCAATAAATGCAATACTACCTACCATTTGAGTGCAGGTGGGCATATTGTAGAGAAACAGGCCTACGTGTCCTTGTACACATACACATTATTTTGTAATGAACAGTATTCTACTGTTCAGAATGTTTATAGTATAAAATAAAAATGAAATTGTTGATAGACAACACAGTAAACAATGTTTATGTTCGTGATTTACTGACACAAGTTACTGTAGACCTTTTGCTATAATATTTGAATATCAAACATCAGCACGCTTCTCAAAAATACTAGTTAATACGGTATCAATACAGTCAATCACCAAAATTGTACTTGCATTTCTTCATTGGTTATGTTTAGCCTCTTTTTGTAAATATATAAATATACAGTAACAGAAAAGAAACTTTGACAAGCATAAGGTGATTATGTTCCATTTTGCATGACAGTATTTACTTATTTACAGCATCTCTACTACTATGTATCACAAAACACAATGGCATCCATACAATTATTATTGTTTAAGGACAGTACATGGAGTCGGTGAACAAGGAGAAATCAACATCATTTTTAAAAAAAGATATCGTAGAATATATGATTTATAGTTTTATTTTAAAAATAAGAGACAATGGAGAAAAGAGTGCAACTGTTGTGTAAAGGTCGGGGCTGGGGAACAGATATCAGGGCAACAGTGCCCTTGATAAACCTCTTTTAACATAGAAACACAAAGTCAGGGGGGAGGGGTTGGAATGTTTTAATAACCCACACGATTTAAGTATAATTGAATATTGTTTTATTTTGTTTGCTTTTACATTCATGAATTTAAATTAAATAAATCAATGTGCAGTAGCCTACCATTTATAAATTCAGAAGTGATCTTGGAATGGCGTGATGTAATTGAAACAAATACATTGATCAGTTGTTCTACAAACCAAGTCAATAGCAACCCCAGTAACCTATATGCAGAAATGTATTCATGTCCTAACGAAAAAATGACAACAAAACTTGCATGTAAATGTAGGTTTAAATAACATCGACTTAACCATTGACCCCACTTCAATTTATATTGTTAGGGGACATCTTGGAAGCCAACCTTAATTTACTGAATAGATATTGCTGTCCTAATTTTATGAACTAATGCTTATTTCACAGCTACTGTATAACCTTGCATATACAAACAGTTGGTAACTAACACATTTATGCCAAGTAGGTTATTTCTTTTAAGTCTGTTCATGTTATCATTACCAACATTTTAAGTACTTTGTTAAGTATTGCCCAACTTTGTTTCAACTCGGAACACACAGAAACTATATTCACTGCTCTCAATTTCTGCATCGTATCATTTTACTGTTAGTCAATATTATTCATAATTCATTCATAATTTATAATTTATTCTCAAAATTGAAAAGTAAAGATTCTGGTTCTAGTAGGCAAAAAGGGAACATGTGCCTGTACAAGATGCCTACAAGATTTATGTTCATTTGAAGTTTGGATCAGTAAAGCAATATCACCTTATTTTTATAAAAAGTCTCACAGCCAATACTGACTTTTTCACATTACATCATTACACTCCTTACCCATGCATTCAGTGGAACTTTGTTTGCCTCACCTCACAATTTACTCTCCCACTCTAGTTGCTTACCCACTCATTGGTTGGCAGTCAGTTATACATTACCTCATTACATTCCCAGTCCCACAGGAGTCTCAAGGAAAATTGGGACAGCCTCCCGCACTCTTGCAATCAAATAATCTCCCGGAAATTAACCCATCTCCGCAAATTCATAATATTTTCACAGCTTTATTATCAATTTTCTCATGGAAGTCAGTGCTGATGGGTATAACTATGTGCAACAAAAAAAAATTAAAAGTTCATTAATCAGATCAGTGGCAGATTCAAAGGAGGGGAAGCTGGCCCGAGTCCCCTAAATATTCCAAAATTATGCAAAAATTGGGTAGAAATTAAAATTATATTCAAATTCAAGAATGAGAGTGCCATTTCCGGACATCTAGAGGTGCAATAATCATAACTTTTCTTACCTTGGCTCCAACCATGGTTGAAGTGGCGAATTCAAGGGGGAGGAGGCAACCGGCCTGCCCTTCCCCCTCCCTAAATTTTTGAAAATTATAAAAAAAATGGAGAAAAAAAGAAAATTATATTCAAATTTAAGTCCGAGACTGAGAGCACCATTTCCGACAATCTAGAAGTGCCATTATCACAACTGGGCCCGCCTCTATTTCGAATTCCTGGATCTGCCGCTGGGTGGGACTGATGTGGTCTAGTCCCTCCCCCCTTTGACTGAAACCAGCCTACACGCTGGAGGGACCACAAGTATGCAAATCCTAGCCATTTCTAAAAATAATAGAAAGGCTGTCAATGTTCAGACAAATGTGATTTACTCCTATAGGTGTCATTACATCATCATGCTCAACATAATCATCATAATGTTGACCATGGAATACCTCTAATGCTCTGTTCATACTATTATTTTTTAAATATATTTTGCCTATAATAGGGCATGCATGATAATATCACACCTGTATATGGGCATGATGATGTCCTATCACATCAGAGAATAACTGGAAAGTAAAAGGTATTTTTCTTTGAAAAAATTTATAGTGTGAAATCCATTCTTGATAATTATGTTTTGCAGCAGATGACGGCTCTAATGTTGGTCTTATTGTAGGACTTGTAGTTGCTGTCATTGTTATTGCTATTGTTATTGTTTTTCTATACTGCAGAAATAGTAAGTGCCACTCAATTATTGACATACCCTGTTCAGATATGCTTTACATTGTGCTGTTAGTATTCATATATTTAAAAGACACCAGCAAAAAATTTAAGAAAACGCTAAAAAATATATAATATTATGCATTTCCAAAAATCACACTAGTCGTCAATTTTCACTAAACCACAGGTTGAATTACTGAAGGTCCATTTACTTGAAAAAGATGCCTTCCTCTTCTACAAAATGGAGGCCTGATTCACTTTTAAAATAGATGCTGCCCACTTTTTCAGTGGCAGTTATCACATTTTTAATTAGGTCCTAAGTATCAAACAAATGTCATTTACTTACTGTATGTCTTTTTTTTTGTTTTAGGAGATAAAATGTCAGAAACAAAGTAAGTCACTAAAATTGCTTTATTATGCATACACAAGATGATTTTTTACTTGTATACAGTACATTATTTTGATTTGTTAACTTAATACACTGTAGGTACATTGAAATAAGCTTAACTATAATTTAGCGTAGTATCGGTAATGAATATCAAACCAAACCTACTATACTAAGTTCATTTATAATAGAACATCAGCAGGCCCAATTGATGAGCCTCACATGCTTGTGTTACCAAGGGGTCATGTAATGGTGATTCAAATAATGTCAGAGATCATATATAAATATATTAGTATCTAATGGAATGATAAAGAATCCCTTAGTATGTTAAATTGTTTCAGAAGATTAGATTTAAAACTTCTGTTTTTTTATGAGGAATGAATCTTTGAATACTCATGATTTATTGCTTTTAACATTTAATTTTGTTCTATACATAGTGTTGGGTATAGTTCGAAGCCAGCAGATGTGGAAGTAAAAGGGTCTGATAATGCTGCTCGTGTCCCGTTAAAGGGTGGTCCTGGCTATGAGGTGATGCCCTCTATGACCAAAACAAGTTTGGGTATGAATAGAGACCTACAGAAGAGTAATGTAAGTCATTATATATAATTGTTTATGTTAGATATGAAGGTACATTCTAGTAGCTTATTTGCCACCTGAATGGTTTATCTGTTAGCTTGCAAGTATAGTAAGATATTAGTGGAAGTGATTAACTTGGTGGTTAAGATGCTTGCTTTCTGATTCCAGGGTCCTGGGTCCAATTCCTGTTATAGTAAATTTTTCCTCCTGCACAAGACAACTCTTTGCCTCATAATGAGACTAAAGCTGGGCACTCGCTGCATCGTGCGACAGTCGTACAACAAATCCACCTCTGCTTCTGGTGAGCGATAGATGACGTAACGCCTTTTGCTGATTGTCAGTGGCAGTCTGAACGGATCCTCATTGAAAAGCGATCCGTTGCTTCCGCGCTGTCGCATGCATTTGTCGTTGCGTTGCTGTTGCGCGTAGTGAGTAACCGGCTTTAGTTTATGTACTGTAGAGTATTTTGTGTATATGTTGTTTTTGATGGGATTGCCATTTTACTGTTTGGCATGTCCTCTGCTCTACAGTACTGCCTAAAGCCGAATAATGTATTGCATGGCAAAATACAATTAACATTATTTCAAGAAAAAAATGTCATTGCTTATAATAATACTTGGTTGAAAGTAAACTGTTTGCCAAGTCCAAAGTACGCTATTTAAAAAGATTTGTCAAGTTTATTTTTTCTTGCTCAAGAATGACTGATTTAGTTAAATTGATTTCTGAATATAAAAGATTAGCTTTTTTCTATTGATATAGTTGCTGTATATTTTATACTTCATCATTTGATCTTGAAAATGACACCATGAAGGAGTTGAAACGTCGATCTTTTCTTTTCAGCGTTATTTTTATATTAAAAAGATGGGGAAACTTTTCTTATTATTTATACAGGAGAAACTGTTTGATGCAAGGGAAGATGCTGTGTTGTATGACCATGATGGTGGCAAGCCTGTGGGTGTCATGATATGATTCCTGAATGCAAACACTCTATTATTATACATCTCAATTCCAAAGTTAGTTAACAGGTAAACGTGTACAGGTAGGGTATGCCCTACAGAATACTGTAATTGTAGGAACATCATTACGTAGTATTCGACTTACACCTGTTTCTAATGTTTTTTTAAAAAGTTAACTTGCACTGATTTTATTTTATTTTATTCGGAATATCATTGCACAAACAGTTACATCGAAACATTGGTAAAGAAATGAAAATAATAGGCCTAATAAAAAATATCAATATAGAAAGTGTAGTGATTTTCCAGGGTAACCTAATAAAGCCTGAAGTATTTCTATTGGGGTTCAATATAAAATCGATCTATAATATATTATTTACAAAAAGTTTTTAATAGACATATATTTGTGATTGATTGATTGATTTGTAAGAAAAACCTTTAATAGATAGAATGAGCAGAATTTGTTTTATTTTAAGTGTGACAGTGTTCTTGGGTAATAGATACATTATAAATTAATGGATTATTTTTAATTAATTAAAGCTATTCAAAGTGTCTTAATATTGTCTATCGAAGCAGATAATTATATCTATTGAATTTTAAGAACTAAATTTGCATACATCATGCTCTGAATACAATATTTTTACCTCAAATTTATAAACTAAATTTTCTTCAGTAAATTGCAAAGTCATTCCAGCAGTTTTTGCATCTGTGATTCACTAACAAAACAAAAATAATTTTTATTAAACTTATGCAATTGTAAATAAGCAAAAATATTGGGTGCTGAATTGCAGTTTACTGTTATTTTAATTTAAATGCATTTAAAAATGTTGTAAGTGATAGCCAAAAATATTACATATGGAAAATTATTTTATAAAATGTTCGGCACTCATTAGCCTGTATTGGATAGGTTTATAGAATATGAGTATGGTGACTCCGAAAAATGACAGACGTGAGGCCATAGTTGATTCTACGTTTCGTTCTTTATTGGAACATTGTCATTCGTTCATTTCGTTCTTTATTGGAACATTGTCATTCTTGACAATGTTCCAATAATGAACGAAACGTAGAATCAACTATGGCCTCACGTCTGTCATTTTTTGGAGTCACCATACTCATATTCTATTTACGTATAATCAGTGGATCCTTTGGTTTTTGGATAGGTTTAGCTTTTCAAGTGTAAGCAATAAGATCGAGGTCTTCTGTTTTATTTCTGTTTATGAACAGAAGGAAAGTTTAATTGATTATATAGGATTTTCACAGTGCAGAGATTCAAAATGTGGACATGCCAATTCACATACACAGACATTTTAGAGATTTGCATAGTAGTCCACTTCCTTTAATCGTGTAGAAGTTGTCTGGCGCAGTGGGAACAGTTTACTTTCCCAACCTTGAGGTTGTGGTTTTAATACCTCCCTGTGCAAAGTACTTCTCTCCACTCAGGAGTACTAAATGGGTACCTGGTGGTGTTGTCTGCTCCTGTGCTGATTACAGAAGCAACACTTAAAAAATGTGGACCCAATGACCTGGAACAGAAGGGCTTCCTATCTGCAAAAAAAAAAAAGGCGCTAAATAAGTAATTGAATAACATACTGTAAGAAAATTGCAATGTATTGAAAACTACATAATGCAATTACATGTACAGTGAGTACATATTTAGTAAATATATGATTCATGTACTGATACCAAAGGTGGACTACATTGGGAAAATCCTCCCCTTTTAACATTCAGCATATCCAGTCCTATTACAATAGTTAAATTTTTTGTATTCATGTGTTTTTTATAAAGGTAAATCTTTATAATCTTTTAATGTTTTTTTGAAGGTCTACTTAGAAACATAGATCCTAAATATATAAGCTGGGTACTCATTCACAACTCTGTGTGGCACTGTCCGCTGATATTGCCAGTGACGGGCTGAATGGATCGTCATTAAAAACGATGCATTGTGTGCGTGTTGTAGTGTTGCGTTCTTCATAAAATCATGTTGGCCGTCAATCGTCAGGTGCTTGGCTTTACATAACATGCATATACAATTGACACAGGATACATAAAGAGCCCCGATGGCCTGCTTTCTGCTATCCCACCTCGCCGTCAGTGGCATACCTAGAGGTCTTGAAATGGGAGTGCTGATGTGTTGGGGGAGGGGGTTGCAAATGTGAAGTGGGGACCTTGATCATTTGAGGGGGTTAATTCACAAAATAAGGTGTTTTTGGTGATTTTTTACTACTTGACTGAGTTTTGGGGCCCCAAGTATTTTTTGGGGGTGTGCGCGCCCCCTTGCATCCTAGATACGCCACTGCTCACCGTGTTGCTAATTATTCCCATTTCCTGTTTTCACTTACACTTTCCCTACTACAGTACAGTATTTCACTTCCTTGTCTCCCATTTTAAAAATAAAATTATGAATCATTTATTCATGCTTTTTTTAAATGTCTGATGTTGATTTTCCCCATGTTGGCCAACTTCTCTTGTATTTTTTCCTTAACATTAGTTTTATATGGAGGTCATAGTGATAATGATAATAGTAATGTTGTAAATATCAATTATAGTAGTAAGAGCTTTAAATACTGTAACATCATAATCATATGTGTATTTTATATCTTATGCTTGAATTCAAATTAATCATATATCAATGACAAGAGGCTTAAAATAACCAATTGTTAAATGTAAAGTAAATTATGTGTTGGTTTATTGATTGTGGGCCAGTGTTTTGTTATCCATGTTGTGTGTTGATGTTTGATGTACATGTCAGTTATTTGTATTAAAGAGGTCTAATGTGTGTTAGTAAACATAAACTTATCATTATAGTTCATGTTTTACAACAATTTTTTATCTTTTATTATAAACGTTCTAAATGATAAAAAACAGTTCAACTGAAAATAACGTGTAGGAGTACCCAAGGACGTGTAGGTGCACTAGGACACGTAGTCCCATGGCACTAACAATAAGCCCACCTGCAAGTAGTAACACTTGAATGGAATCAGGGCTGTGTTTTTATGATGTGCATTGTACTAATGCTTTGTGTAAGGTGAGTAATTTTACAAAGGCTGTACAGTAGTTGATTCAAGCCCCAGCCAACTGGATCCATAGCCCAGTAGTTATAGAAAGTATGGAACTACATTCCTAAGCTATATATGAAAGCACCTTGAATTTGAATTGAATAGATAGGGGTATATATATTTATATAATATTGTGTAACCTGCTACAAATTTAGTCTCACCAGAGAGTAGTTAATTAAAAAGCTAGTTAGATAAACCAACTGGTTACAGGAGGTTCTGTTAACATCAAATCCGATTAAAACTACTGTGTTTATTCTTTGCACATACATGGTTAAACAGCACTAGTTTTCAGTAGGCCTACACTTAACACTAGCTCTTCAACAACATACTGTATCTTTTATATCAACCATGCTACAATAGAAACTACCATTATATTTTATATATATTTATATATACAGTATATATATATAATATATGTATATTGCTGTGTAGCACTGATCATGATGAACAAGAAGGTAAATAAAAAATGATAAAAACATTGTTCAGTTATTTACTATTTACCTATTTATGATTGATATATATATATATAAAAAAAACATGTACAGTAAACTCATTAGCTAATTCCTACCTCATCTATTGTAAGTATAACACAGCGTGGTAAGGTGACAACATCCAATTGTTTTCCGGAATGGTACTAGCGCAACATCTTCATGCTCCCCAAGCACTATTAAATAACAGCTTCATTTATAGAAGTGATTTTGATGTGTAAATGCAACCATAGTATTGGTATTTTCTATTAAAATATTTGTATGACTATATTTATGGGTTTGAAACAGATAAGCCAAAATAATGTAAAGAACTATATTTTAACATTGTGTCTTGACTTTGTGTAGAAATACTCGTAATGATATCATTAAACTTGTTGCATGTTGCTGTATTTTATTAAAGGGCTTCTAAAAAAACTTTTTGTTTTTCATTAGTCTATCTGTATGTGATTTTATGATTGGGGGGGATGGACAGTTTGGTTGCTTCAAGCTCTTGAAATACGAAACTACGATACCTTCGGGTTGATCAAGCGAGTCTGTCCTGAACAATCAAGTATGGACCTGATTGGTCAGGCAAAAATGACGAAATCAGGTCTTTGATTGGAGGGTCATTGCAAGTTTAATGATAATGTCGTTCGTTCGTTCGTATGAATCATAATCGATTCTAGTTGCTGTTACTAATTGACTGTAACGGTCGTAGCAGGGTCACCGATGAGCAGGTTACCAGCATGACCCTCCCATTTATACTCCTGGGTGGAGACAGGCAAACGTAAAGTAAAGTGCCTTGCCCAGGGACACCTGCAGTGCAACGAGCGTCTGCCTCGAAGTTTAACACCTTATACGCTGCGTCACACGTGATAATGTCGTTATTCATGCAGTAATGTCGAAATAAGTCAGTCAGGCACTCGATCATTCAGTCAGTCATTTAACATGACACCGTATAATGTAGTCATACATAATGACAACGTATAATTATGTTAACATTTCTACAACTTTATGATTCTACGTTTTAAATTTTATTCGTTTATCTTCTGGAATTTGTTTAGGGGTTGTTCACAATTATCAACATTTTCGCAAATGTACAAACAGTACTCTTGGTAGGCCCTTTCCTTCCCTCAGAAAGTGTACATAAAAAATGTTGATTTCCCAAAACCAGTTTCTGTTTGTGTGTGATGTTAACTGAAGTACTTACTTGGTTGTATAAAATGTCTTATATCCATGGTTGCATTATAAAAATCTATTATTTTGAATATTAAATGATATTTTTGAATCAACATTTTCATGTAAAAGTGTACACACTTGTCTACAACTCCCCCTAGCTTACTGTTTGTACACTTGTGAAAATGTGAAATACTTCGAATTAATCAAGGGTGATCTATATAGGACCTACAATGATGGTACACGAAAAAGGTTGTGTAGGCGTACAAGGAAGCGTAGGCTTGACTCGCTTACATTGAATGAAACTAAATTAAATTTTTAAACGATGTTTAAATACGCCGTTATAATTACAACTTAAACCATAGGGCCTACACTTTTTTGATAAGAACACTGAGCAGTGGTGGTGGGAATCCGATGTACCCGACAGATGGGCTGATGTGTTCCATATGACAATTTAGGGATAGAAAATACATATAAATGTTTGTTCTGTCCAACGAATTGTGGTTTTTCTCCTCGATGGGGGGGGGGGGCTGCAGCTATCCCCGATGGGGGACCCTGGCCTCCTCGGCCCCTCACTGGCGCACACCCCTGACACTGAGACTGGAATTACAAATAAAAAACAAAATTCATGCTGAGTTAAAATTGCAAATGAGATTTTTAGAGCTCCACAACCCCCTCACCCCCACCCCTTTCATCGGGGAAAAACCAATTCGTCGGAGAAAAAAAGAAATATATGTATATTCCACATTAGTAAAGACTGAAATCAATTAAATAAACCTCCGAAACCCATTGTCATTGTTCAGGGGCTTTCGAAAGATTTTTAGCGACGCCCGACACGCTCACAAAAACTGAGAATGCA